TTTGAAGTTTTCGTGACTGCAGGGATCCATCACTCTTTGGTTCTTTCGTTAAAGTCACGTAGGTACAAATCATCAGGTTTTCCCACCTGGTGATGATTGCTTGTGTTGCAATCGAAACGTCGCAATTTAATTTATTTTATTTTATACCTACGTGACTTTACCGACAGAAACAATGAGTATGCTTAGGCAAGACTTCACCTATTACCAGTGATAACCTCGAGGTAGCTGTGATGATTGTTAATTGACAGTCATTTTCAGAGCTGAGATGGAGTCGAAGGAACGGGACACATACAATGCTCTACGCACTTGTGAATGAAGTAGATACACTTTAAAATTGGCGGCACAGATGTGGTAATGCCGCAAGAAAATTACCAGGTCAACGAGAAGTTGTATTTTAATGCCATGAATATTCTGAAAATGTAAATGCACTATTCACTATGCCTCTAGAGATACCTTACCACAGAAGCCTCAATGACAAATCTAGAGAGAATGACATTTATTGCCAGGCACACGTTTTGAGCAAAATACATTTCTTCTATACTGTTTGGTTTTTTCGGTAAAGTCACGTAGGTGAAAACAAAATAAAAAATAAAAAAGAGAAAACCACTAAATTAAATCACGACGTTTAGTTGTTTGCTCTTTATTTATTTATTTTTCACCTACGTGACTTTAACGAAAAAACCAAAGAGTATGGATACTTGCAGTCACGAAAACTTCAAATCTAGAATTACATTTCTTCTCTTTGTGTTTCATTTTCTGCGTAAAGTTCACAGTGTTCTCTGTTTATATGACCGAGAATGGCAATGTCTTTTTTCTTTATTTCCATTTCCACCTTCATCAGATCTATGAAATGGCTTTTCCAGTTGGCACAATGTAAAAGGGCGCAGCGATGGTGACATGTTAACTCCCTCGCCTGGTATACAGGAGGTCGTGGGATTGATCCCTATCCTGACGCCTGCATATTTGGAGTTTGTATGTTCTCCCTGTGGTCGCATAGATTTTTGTCCAGGTCCTCTGGTTTTTCCCTCCAAATTGAGAAATATGCGGCGTTCAGAGTATTTGGCTGCTATAAATTTCCACGCGATAAGCCACTTCATTGGGCTATCATTTGTGGCTAGGTCACTTCAGAAAAATAACTATATAGCTCAGTGGGCCTTACCTGGTAAAATAAAAAGAGATTCGTTTATACGCACACGTGACAAGTGGTTATTCAATGAAGAATGTGTATATTGTTCTCATAATGTCTTTTCCTATATTCCCCAATTTATTTCACACAATGAACGTTGTCACGCTATTGTTTGTACACCAGCAAATTGTGTGTACTGCACGTTTATATCCCAGCGTCCATAAATTATGTCTTGCAGCTCATTTATTATGCATTAATTTTCTTTCAATGGCCTGTGTCTCCAATAGGCAACATTCATTAATGTTCAATGAAACGGACGAATTGCACATGGCACTTAGTCCTGTTGTGATTTCGTTAAACATCAAGGCATTATTTTAATTAAAGGTTTTCACGGGACATTAACAAATGAATTTAAGCTTCATTTTTTTTCCAACTGTAAGGTTGTTGAAAATTACGTGAAAAAAAACGTGTGTTGTATCATGACGCATTACAGCGTCTAATGAGATCACAATGGTTGCCTACAATGACACATTTAAATTCAACATTTAATGTCCACCAGTGAATATCACATTGAAGTGTTATCCAAGACAACGCAAAAAAACACGTAATCATCTTTTAATTACAGTTGGTATATTTAACAAAAGGTGTCGTTTTATTTCATTATATTTGTGGACTCTTCAAAACCCAATTAACTTGCTTTGTGCCATAGTTAAAAAAATATATCTATTTTACTTTGCTTGGGAAATATCAGGCGCAATTCATACGATAATGGCCTCAATTTAATGCGAAATCAGCTTTTACACGATTCCCACTCCACAAATTATGGTGCAAAATTGGCGCTCGGGCCGTGATCATAATGTGCTCTCCGCACTGTTGGATCAACCTCATTAAGTTAGCAACACACCTATTACGACCACTAGGGGAGATTATGTAAATGTCTTGGCCAGTATGCTGTCCAAGCAACCGTGTTTACACATTGCACCAGGTTACTAATCTGACATCACCTGAAGAATGTGCCCGCTCTCGTCAAATCTCGCAAAACTTAAGCAGTTAATTTAGCTGTGACGGTCCCACCTGAAGACGGAGACTTGTGTTGCCTCTGAAACGTCGTGATTTATTAATATTTTATTATTTATTTTTACCTACGTGACTTTACCGAAAAAACCTAAGAGTATGAATCCTTGCAGTCACAAAAGCTTCAAATCTAGAATTAGGCAGGGCTTAAAGACTTGGACAGCGCCTGCATTTGGTTGGACACAATTTGACGGGGTGCAGAAGTAGGCATTGCGGGCAGCAGAGAGCATTGTTGTTCTGCTCTCACTCCTACCTTCACCAACCCGCACTGACCAGTGTGGTGAAGTATGGTCAAAGTATCCCCGTGTCCCCGTCCTCCCTGCCAATGGAGAATTTCCAGCCACTTGATGCCACCGTGCAGCGCTACGCAGGCTCCACGTTTCGGCAGCCCTCGGGGAGGGCCGATTGCAACGCGGCATGGCACGCGGCGGTTCTCATAATGAGGGAGTTAGAGGGGGCCCTGTGTGTGGTAATGATGCACCCCACACTCAAGCTGTGGTGCAGCCTCAATATCGCAACCAGCACGACGACGGTGGCTGCGGTTCTCGCGAAAATAATTCAAAGAGCATAATTACTGGTGCATTGTCCAAATTGCCAGGTTTTCATTATTTGTGAAGTATTACACAATTACCTCATGACAAGTCTCCCCCCCCCCCCGACCCCCTTAGTAGGAAATGAGTGCCACTGTACGAGGGGGTGAAATTTTCAGACGACGGCGCAAAGTAAAAAAAGAAAGGGCAAGTGCTGAAGTGAAAAACAAAAATGATGAACAACGTAAGATGCACATATGAAGATAACACGGGTACTGTACACCTATAAAACGGCAAATAAATAACGGTATTACAGAAAATCCCAGTTAAGTGCATATCAGTATCATATAACTACTGCATGTATATTTGCTACATCTAAATATGCATTTTGTTGATCATCTTTTCATACAATTGGATTTTAATTTTAGTAAATCTAATAGAAGAATCAATATACACTCCGATCATTTACTGTAACTCAAATATCAAACTTCCAGTAGTTTTGCCAAACATATACGTGTATTAAACACATCATCAGGCTCTGCACACTTTATATGGGCTTCACCATCACACTCCCCTGGAGAGGAATTAATTGGTGTAATTAAATATTACTCGACCATTGATATGACCGTTGATATGGGTTCAATAAAAACAACATTGCCCATCAAACTATTTGTTATTTTACCAGTTAATACCCACTGAGCTACATAGCTATTTTTCAGAAGCAACCTGGGCACAATTGATAGCTCAACAAGGCGGCTTATCACGTGGGAATTTATAGCAGCCAAAATACTCTAAACGCGTGTTGATTCTAAACATGAAGGGAAAACCTGGAGGACCCGGAGAAAAATCCACCCGATCCTGGGGAGAAGATGCAAACTCCAAATATACAGCAGGTGTCAGGGTCAGGATCGAACCCATAATCTCCTGCATAACATGTGATGTCGTTAACATCTCGCCAACTTAATGATAATGACCATCACATATGATTACATTTTAGTACGGTAATATAGAACCTTAGGCTTAGCCCAACCAATTGATCTCCAGGCCATACATTTTAGGTGGCGATTTTTTTAAATATTTAGTAATACTGTAAGCATTAATTATACTATATCTCTGTCAAATTTAAACTTTCTAGCTCTTACAGATGTTACATCATCAGCCATGGGAGTCTATACCAATTAGGCTCTCCATAACAAGCTGCTAATCTGTACATTGCAATTCTTGTCCTGAGAAATGATCCGAGGGCACTCCACAAATTTCAATGAACGAGGTGTCATTTTAAATCTCATGACACACAATGTATGCGAATGAGGTTAAAATTACAGTCGACTAACTCGGCGTAATTACCCGGTGCTCCTTATCCGTTCAACCATTTACAACAGCACGGCATTTGACATGAGCTCCATTTCAAAAAGGTGGCCAGCACCCACGCCCGGTCACCTTTGTCTCCCCTGTGGCGATGTTTACACACCGCACCAGGCACTCGTTTGAGACTGAGTCGACCTAACGGAGGTCCAGGACCACTTCCGATATTCGTCACTGGTGATGGCCGTGAGAAGGAATCGAACTCGGGTCACCGGGTTTGTAGTGCAGTTGGCTAATCACTACACTGCCGCTCTCCTCAAGACACATATATATACACAGTCTGTAGTTGCCTTCTTGAAGAACATCGCGGTATGAAAACATTGCGCTGTAATAAATAATATATAACATAGGGTATAAAGCCCAGTTCGCGATAACACGTGAGATGCGTAACGCAGGCTGAACAAAGACTAACGCGCATGGGTAGCATCTAGAAGCATCCAGCAGCATCCCGCCTCGTGTGCTACTACACCGCGTGACGTAGTTCCGTTCATTCGATTGCGTTATATCCAATTGGCATCCGCGCGTAAATTAAAAAAAAATGCGTTTCCTGATACATTCATCGCGTTACACACAAAATTCGCGTCGTGAGAAAACACGCGGCGGTATAGGAGAACGTAGCGTGGACACAGAGAACACGGGCAGCGCGTACCTTCCACACAGCGGCAGCTGGCCTGTAGCACCCAGGCGTACATGTATATACAAAATTCGCGTCGTGAGAAAACACGCGGTGGTATAGAAGAACAGAGCGTAGACACAGAGAGCAGGGGCAGCGCGTACCTTCCACACAGCGGCAGCCGGCTTGTAGCTCCCAGGCGTACATGTACATACAAAATTCGCGTCGTGAAATAACACGCGGCGTTATAGGAGAACGGAGCGTGGACACCGAGACAAGGGGCAGCGCGTACCTTCCACACAGCGGCAGCCGGCCTGCAGCACCCAGGCGTACATGTCGGCCCGGGAGTGCGACATGAGCTGGTCGCCGGTCAGGTACGTGTTGTGGGACGAAGCGATGAAGTAGTGAGACAGCGGCTGCTTCATGTCCTGGTTCAGCTTGTAGTGCTCCATGTTGAAAATGTCACCCTCCGGACTGCGCATGTAGTTTGTGAAACCTGGAAAAGCGAATCGGATCAACAGTACGCATGGGTTTCGATTTTAAGCTTTCGTGACTGCAGGGATTCATCTTCTTCAACCAAGAAGAAGTACGCATGGGTGTTCAGAATCAGGGTATGTATTTATACTGGTGGAATACGATGGGCTTTAAAGCTATTTTTGTCACGGATGTCCAGTAGGCATGGGTCAGATAGGAGTGCAGAGTATAGGAACGGTAGGCAAATTACAAAAAAAAAATTAAACTAATCTTGATTTGAAGCTTTCGTGACTGTAGGAATCCATACTCTTAAGGGTTTGTTTCAGCAGCCTGTTTCTCTATCCCACCTGAGGACGATTGCTTGTGTGGCGATCGAAATGTCGTGATCTATTGTGACTTTACCGAAAGAAGCAAAGAGTATAAACATTTTACTATTTTAATTTTTATATTCTTGGTTCTTTCGGTAAAGTCACATATGAAGTACCGGTGAAGACGCTTGACGCCGAGGTTGAGGCACACGTATATTTATTTCACAATACGACAGTGGGCATATACACACTCGAGGGGGTATCGGCCCCCTCACCCGTATAACTCGGGATACACCCCTAGCTAACTCTGTCCTAGCCCCGAATCCTCCACTAATGGGCTAGGGGAGGCTAACTGGCCCGACACTGGTAAGTCGGGCCCGGTACCCGGAGTTCCAGACCAGCTCTTACAAGAGCACCGGCTCTGGCTTTCGGGACCACGCCGCTGGCTCAGTCCTGTCCGGCCCTGAAAAGGACATCGAACTAGGGGAGTCCAGGGCTCTATCTAAGACGTCTTCAGTCTTCTTCCCTTAGCTTAAACATAACTGACTCGAGCCCTTTGAACATCCCCTTTTATACCCAACCCCTCCCTGAGGGGTGGGGCCCCGGGGGATCATAACGTTCGAACCAGCCCCCCCCCAGGGTGTCTGGCTCGGACGTCGTAGAGGGCACCTCCTCGTGCACTTACGTAGCCCCGCCCACTGTGTTTGTTTTCCATAGGCTGCCATGCATAACGGGCCCTCTCTTTAACACCCCTACACATAGAAGGGAAATAATAAAATAATATAAATATAAAACAATAAAAATTCTCACGACGTTTCGACTGCAACACAAGCAATCATCATCAGGTGTGAAATCCACAGCAAGAAAATTAGAAACGTCGTGAGAACTTGTATTGTTTTATATTATTTTATTATTTCCCTTCTACGTGTCTTTACCGAAAGAACCAAGAATATGAATCCCTGCAGTCACGAAAGCTTTAAATCGAAAAATGTATTTTATTGTTAACAGGTAAAGGGCCCACGGCGCTATTAACTTCTTTTTTCAGAAGCGACCTGGCCACAAATGATAGCTCAACGAAGTGGCTTATCACGTGGACATTAATAGCAGCCAGATAATAAAAGTAATCTCAACGCATGTTTCTATTGAATATGTTTACTCAAGCGCAGTATCAGCCCTCTACAGCCACCCCCTTGATCCCCCCCCCCCCCCCGCCATGCTGCGGGGATGGTTTATCGATGACTTAAAGCTTTCGTGACTGCAGGAATTCATATTATTTGGGTCTTTTAGTAAAGGATGGCAAGTTACCATTCTTGAATGTTTTAATCGTTCATGAAGCCATCCAGATATACAAATACGAACACTATTTCAACCGAGAAGATGGGTACAAACTGAGCAATCATTGGTAGGACGTTATTAACCAGGTTAAGTCATAACTGGCTGTGATGTTTAGCAGTTATTTTCTACTCTCTGGTGTTACATTAACATATTAAATGTCTTTACATTAACAGGTTAAATGTCTCACCAACACAGCCACCGTTGCTCGTTTTCTTCGATGTGGCAGTGGCTCTACGATCTTACATTGACATGCCAATCTCTCACAATACAATGGCCACCTCCGCAGCTTAGTCGTCGTGGAGGTAGCTCTCTGATTTACCCGATCTTACATTGACATGCAGATTTCATCACTAGCCCCGCCCACTTTGCTTATGACCCTTGGACTACACCCATCTCAAACCTTTATAACATCCTGCCTCAGCAGCTCTCTCGCTATTTTTTTCACCTGATGACGATTGCTTGTGTTGCGATCGAAACGTCGTGATATCTTTTAAATTATTTTTTCTATCTACGTGGCTTTACTGAAAGACCCAAAGAATATGGTTTATAGATGTTCATATATATGTAGGACCTGAAATACACGCGCCACGCGTTCGGTTGTTCTGTTGCTATGCAAGCGAGCAGAGTACAGTAGGGGTATCCGGGGACGGGGTTGTTGTTGTCGGGCGCGGGGAGGAGACGTCGTTAAGATGGGTGACAGGTGTTAGGGCTAACCGAGGACACAGGCTGGTGATTGGTTAAGAGGGTGATTGCTTAATGACTGGCGTCGCTCAGGCGGGAATAACAAGGCCACGCGAGGCTGGGGGCCTGGGGGGCGAGGGGTAAAGCGTGGGGTGAGATAATTAATAGGGACTAATTGATACGGGGATAAAAGGGACAGCGCGACAGAGAGACGGGAGTCTTGGTAGAAGCTGGAGTCTGGATAGGAGTTGGAGTGATGGTGCCCAGAATAGCGAAGAGCAGGAGTAAGAAGATACGATAATGGTAGCAGTGGATAGAGGAGACAGAGTGAGGGGTAGCAGTGGTAGCAGTGCATCGGAGAGATACAGAGTAAGGTAGCAGCGGAGAGAACGGAGAGTCATAGAGCGCCGTTGATGGCGGATAGCATGACGGAGCGAACGGGTAACCACGGAGCGGTGAGGAGGAGAAAGTGAGGACTTTAAAGAGCAAATAAACGGAACGAGAAGACAACCCGAGTACGAGTCCTACATATATATATAACCCAGATAATGATCCCACCTTAATAAACACGCATTGCTGGGGAAAAGAGTGATTTGGAGAGCACCTATCAGCACGGTTGGCTCCGTACGGTGCGAAAGAAGTTCAACATACATATATGAGGATCTGGTGGGGGGGGTGGGGGGCGCTTACCAGCCTATTCACAATGAGTATCTGAATGTGGCAAGGGCCTCTACTGAGTGATGTCATCCTGAAATTACGACCAAGGGACAATAGTGCGCCAACATCAACGCAGTGGAGACAATTGCGTGCGGCCCTCGCTTGAGGCCGAGGTGATGTACAGGGGAAGCGGTGATCCGGAGAAATAAAATGCCGATTTTTAACAAGAGCATCAACCATCGTCGTGTCTGTAAACATTCTTGACCAGTGAAGGGCTCTCACCATCATCATCATCGTGAGTTGAGAGTTTTCGTGAATTAAAAGAATGTCGTAAAATTGAGCTTCAAAATACATCTGACTTGGATGACAAGTTGGTCTATCAGCACCGTTATAAAGTAAACCTTTATTCCATCGCTATAAACCTATTGGCGGTCCGGCAACACATCCTGGCAGAAAACCATTCTTCTAAATAATTTCTGTAGTATATACTATATGTGTAATGATTCATACCCACCAGCAAGCTGATGAATATTCACAATGCGGGGATATCATTTTAATGAAGTCATGTATTGTTAATTTATAGGAATTCTCTACTTGCATTCTGTTTCAATGATTTCTGTGTCATGTGTACAATTTTGATCGTAACATTACCATAAATGTATCATTAGCATACCATTTCCATACACTTTACATTAATGGCATATAATTTCTTGTCACACACACAATTTGTAACATGTAATTTGAGTGTAAAATATCATTATTAATCAAAATATACATAAATATTGCCCTGCAAGCAATATACACCACCTCCAATCAACCCTTTAAAAGTAACTATATATTAGGAATGTAATTATGCATCCATTCATTGATTAAAATCTATTCTTACCCTCATGATTTACGAATTCAATGATCTGTATAAAAATCAACTATTTTTCAATCCCTAAATGTGCAATTGGTTCATGTAATTGCTGCAGCCACCGGAGGCGCTAAATGCACTACCACATCAAATTCAGAATTAAATTGTGACCCTACATCATGAGAATTCAACAACTGGTTGGGGCAATTAAGGCAAAAGCATTACACAATAGAATTAATATGATTCTCATTTAAATTTGATAAAGTTATACCAATCAACCATTTTCAAAACCCATTTTAAAGAGTACTGTAGTTGTAATCTTGAGACTGCCGATATGTTTGGGAGATTTAAAAAAATGCCAGTGTCGAGGTCTTGCGGGACATGAGAGAGTTCGTGAGTTTTGTTAATCCTCCATTGAATGAGTGCATACGATAATGGTTTAATGCATGGCTCATGGTTCGAATCGCATGGCCACAGTCACACTGTGGCTCGTGTCTTTAATGTGTCTCTATGTATCTCTACGAGTCTCTGTGTCCTTATGGGTTCACTATAAGGTCACCCATAGTGTGATTTGCATGGCCACAGTCACACTGTGGCTCGTGTCTTGAATGTGTCTCTATGTATCTCTACGAGTCTCTGTGTCCTTATGGGTTCACTATAAGGTCACCCATAGTGTGCTTTGCATGGCCACAGTCACACTGTGGCTCGTGTCTTTAATGTGTCTCTATGTTTCTCTACGAGTCTCTGTGTCCCTATGGGTTCACTATAAGGTCACCCAGTGTGCTTTGCATGGCCACAGTCGCACCGTGGCTTATGTCCTCAACGTATCTCTACGCATCTCTATGAGTCTCCACGCCTCTATGGGTCTCCTATAAGGTGACCAACAGTCGAACCGTGGCACCTGTCTTCATGCAAGGTGGAACGCAACTTCGTGGACATCGAGGGTCACTAAACAATCCCGGGTGGTGGTGGTGTGTCGCGTGTTCTGGGGTTGCGCCCTCGAACCCCGCTCCCCCAGCCCAAAGCCACGTGACAGAATCGGCAAGGTCAATGTCTTCGGCAGATTGCCATTTGTAGCAATGGAATTCCACGTCTCACTGAACGGACACGGTTTCAATTTTTTGAAGGGCCCGTCATATATTCCCGCTCAGTGATGTGTGTGTTTCCCACCTGTTACTGCTATGAAAAAGTCTGAAGCAATTTGTTTTTTACCACCAAACTACAAATGGTATCACTTTTAAACCTCGTGTAAAAAAATGAACAGTATAGCCCTGTGGCAATATATTGCTGGGTGAAGGCCTCGCCATGCCGTTTCAGTCGCGGGAATTGTTTTGACCATACCTCACCACAGCTGTCAGTGCAGGTTGGTGCAGTGCAGCGCGGCTCAGGGCAAGTTAAAATACCACTCGCCAGTGAAGTTAACCATGGCCAGGAATAAAACTCAGGTCGCCGGATTCCTAGGACGGTGAGTGACCCACTGCGCGATCGTTCCATCTTTTTTTTTAATGAAAGATGTGATGCGTTAAACAGCACAGCATGTGCACTGTAGTGTAGGAGAGATTACCCTGTGATGTTAATACGTGGCGTGATGTGATAAACAACAGCTTAAGAGTAGTTCTGCATGGTTAACACACCCCTGGGCGGGAGAAAATCCTGCTTAATGAGAATATAATGGTGTGCAGTCGAATGTGAACCGCTGTATAAAGTATAACGCCCAGGCACAGCAAGCAGCGGCATGACCTTATGAAATTCAAGCAGGCCATTTAAATATTGCATGCCCTGTACAAAGTGCTTCGGGACAGCACGTGACGAACACTTTTGCCGTACTCGAGGTTGGAGGCAATTCATTCGGCGAACACGGGGAATTCAATTACTCTTGAATAATGTTAATGAATTATTTTACTAAGAGTATGATACGGGAATAAAACATGGCCAATTATTTACCAAGGAAAAGCCTCACTGAGTCACGAGACTATTTTTCGGGAGGGTCCTGCATTGGGGATGTTTAGCCAATTCCCTTCATGAGAATGACAAAATAAGAATAGGTTTTACCCTTTCTAGCAATAAAACAGCTGTGTTAAGATCTTGATTTGAAGCTTTCGTGACTGCAGGAATCCATACTCTTTGGTTCTTTCGGTAAAGTCACGTAGGTATAAAAATAAAATAAATCACGACGTTTCGGGCGCAACACAAGCGTCCATCATCAGGTGGGAAAGCATGGTCTGCTGCCCTCATCTATGAGACCTCTCTCCTATCTTACAGTTACATGCTAATTTCTCACATTAACATCATGCTAATTTCTCACATTAACATCAATGCTAATTTTTTTTCTCGATTTAAAGCTTTCGTGACTGCAGGAATTCATCTTCTTGGTTCTTTCGGTAAAGTGACGTAGAAGGGAAGTAATAAAATAATAAAAATAAAACATAATAAAACAATTCTCACGACGTTTCGGCCACAACGCAAGCAGCCATCCTCAGGTGAAAATTGTCGCCTCGACAGACCTGGTTTTCACCTGAGGACGGCTGCTTGCGTTGTGGCCGAAACGTCGTGAGAATTGTTTTATTATGTTTTATTTTTATTATTTTATTACTTCCCTTCTATGTGACTTTACCGAAAGAATCAAGAAGATCAATGCTAATCTCTCACATTAACATAGCCACTTCCATGCCCTCGTCAAGCAAGCCTCTCCCTTATCTTACAGTTAACATGATAATATCTCACATTAACATCACTAGCCCCGGCCACTTCTTTATAACCCTTGAGCTACACCCATTTCAAACCTTGTAAAACAGTCTGCCTCAGCAGCAGACCATGCTTTCCCACCTGATGACGGACGCTTGTGTTGCGCTCGAAACGTCGTGATTTATTTTATTTCATACCTACGTGACTTCACCGAAATAAGCAAAGAGTACGGGTGTTAAGATGTTCAAACACCAACTAGATGCCTTTTGCAAGGGATCGAGTCTGCATTCACCACATACAGTACTTGTGGTGAACATGCAAACCCGTCCAGTGGTCTGACACTGGTGCGACTAAGCCCTAAAGAAGGCTGTCTCTGGTGTAGGCCAAAGACAATTAATATATTATCAGAGCATGTTTGTTTGCATGTTCACAAGTACTGTGTGTGGTTAATGCAGACATGATTCCTTGCAAAAAAAGGTTTCTATTTGGTGCTTGATCATCTTCACACCTGTTTTATTGCCAGAAAGGGTAAAACCTATTCTTATTTTTTCATACTGTGATACTGACAAAAAAGGTCCCATTTTGTAGATCACTTAATGCGTATTTGGAGTGTTCGTGGAAACCAGAGTTCCAAGGCAAAACCCTTGGATACGATGGGATAACGATGCAAGCTCCCCACGGATGCATCCAAGCTCCCCCACACACAGAGCCCACATGCATTCGATGCATCAGTGGACTGAGCCCATTTCTGTGCTGTCATCTCCTGGTCACCTCACAGCCTCCAGCTTTATACCTACAAAGCACGGTAAGCAGTGATGGTCACCCATCCAAACACGACCGAGGCTTAATTCTCCTTAGCATCTGGAATCTCATGAAATTGGCCACATTCTGGGTCACGTGATTTTTTATAAATTCCCGCCTCGGGGTACTCTACACAATCCAGCTGTAAATGTTTACGTTACTTAAACTACCAGGTGATAATTTGTGTATATGAGCGCGAATGACCGATGTGCTTATATAGTTTCTCATAATGACAATATGGTTAGCATACTGCTGTTACAGCAATGTGGATAAATTCAAGTTATTAATATCTCGATATGCTCCTTTGTGTGTGTATATGTATGTTGCATTGTACATGAATGTGTAAAGATAAAAAGTGTGTGTGTGTGTGTATACAGTATACATATGCACAATATATGTACATAGCCTGCATGAACATATATACACACTATACAATGTAGAGTATATGTGTGTGTGCACATGTGTGTTTTGACAACTTCTTCTCTCACCCTCTCTAAAATAGAAGCCCACAGCGATGTACGAGGGACAGGCACCATCAATCATGTCGGCATGATATATCACTCTGCGCGGCTAAATTAATCAAATGAATAGTGGCAGCACATGAATGGTGGGGAAGCAGCAATGATAGCGGTGCGTTGTCATTCTTTACGTTATGGATTGTAAGAATCCATTTCAAAGGTACATTTTGATCATCGGCAGTCGAAGGTGATTAACTTGTGTGTGTTACAGAAGCCTGTGGAGTCAGACGCCGTCTTTCCACAGCCAATGGGAAGTGGGCTCAACCTGGATTCCCGGTGTTGGCCATGTCAGGCCAACGAGACTCTGGTAGCAGGGCCACCTTTGAATAGTGGCCAGCAGCTGAGAAACAGACCAGAACAACATGGGTGGCAAAGACGGATCAAATAGCCGCGGGTCAACTTCTGAGCTTCGTGAGTGTGTTAAAAAAATAGTATAGCTCGGTTAGCATAACCTAACCCAAGTACGTATTAAGCCGTGTTTTAGAAATGTCAAAAGACAAGTGACAAATAAACAGCTCGAAAACATCAAATTCGTTGTGATTGGGTATCGCACGATTTGAAGAAGCTATGGTCAGAGGCAGGCGCGGGTTGATGTTGGACATGAGTGGGCTGCAGCCCACCTGTAAGTCAATATCACCGAGTGAAACATCCAAAAGTACAACATTTTATTTCCCTCTGGCTACGGACAGGCAGGAGGAGGGAGGGCCCAAACGCACAGTGCCTAGCAGCTGTGGAAGCACTGGGACGAGACACGAGGGGAGCTGGACCATCCCTGTCAAGAGTTTGATTTCTCATGGCTTCTGGAAAGCAGGGGCAAACATAGACACCTCCCAAGAGGGTGAGGCGGTCCTGAAATGTCAGGCTTTTCAAATAGGGCCCTACATTAATAATAATAATACAACATTCCATGTATTCTCTTTTGTAAATAACAATATAGAAATGTTCATTGCACCCCCCCCCATCTACCCCACCATGAAGGAAACAGAAGGCAGCGATTATCTCCACAGGTGACCCTGATCGAGCGGTGGAAATTCTAGCAGTCCCTTCACATGAGAAGTTATTGTTTGTTTTGTTGCACAGAGTGGAACACACAACTCTATCGGACACAGGGTGATGGGGCTGAGTCGACGGCAGTGAGACAATATTGCTAGCAAGGCCAATGCACTTTCTACATTCACGTAAAAAAACGTACCCATTACCAAACCACAGGCTGCTGTATATATATAGATGTGTACATTTGTCATGTTTTAGTTTTGTTGCGGGGTAAAAGTGGTGACACATTAGCATATTAAACATTTGCTATAGTGGCAAAAGCCTGCCTTGCTTTTAATATGTTCGATGCATTCACTTTTATTACTTTATGGCCTTAGATTATTGCCTATGCTTTTATTGTTCCTCGCGCTACATTCCTCCAAGCTTGCTTCGGCCATGCATTAATTTTCAGCATAAATCCCGGCACTTTGCATGCGACTTTGAAAAACGACCCTGTGCAATTTCGCAGTGTACGAAAGAGGAATACGGCTGGAACAACAACACTGCAGTTAGTTATATAATGGACATGACACTGAGGATTTAACACACTTTTAAAATTCAGAATGCACTAAGAAATACGCATGAAAACAAACCAATGGATGGCTTGAATACAGTAATTCAGAAATAACAATAAGCATGTGATATTCTACTGCTGCCTGCATGCCAGTGTGGCATCCGCAGCAATCGTGCGGGGACTATCCCTGCGTTAATATAAAATGGTACCGACGTCCGCCCAGATGTTGAGAGATTGTTTTTTTTTGCTGTTACCGTCAATTCCCAGAAGGCCTTGCTGCTTGTTCTCCTCGCATGGCTCGAACATGTTGACGACGTCCACGCAGTGCTCCCTGCTCACGTCCGTCATCTGCAGCACGTGGGAGACAGCGTTCACATCGTTCGCTGCTTACCCCCCCACCCCTTCTTCCTTATAGACCTAAATTATACTCTTCTCTAACAGGGCAGCATTACCTTGATGTTGCAAAAAGCTGTAGTGCCTTGTACATCAGAGGAGCTACACTGAGATAGTTAACTCTTTCCCGTTCCGATGACGTATGTGTACGTTATCACAACGGAACCGGAAAAAATTAAATAAAATAAACTTTATTAGCACTGAGGCTCCCAGAAGGCCATGCGGGAGGGCGCGTGGCACAGTTTGGCGCCAGCTATCATAGAGTGCGGTGATGTTGCTACACTTCTCTGCGGCGAGCACAATGTCTTTAAAACAACGGCGCGATGCTTCTCAAAATAAAATGAACGCTGAAATGCTCGAGATTCAGCGGTAAGCGGGACACCCGTCCTGCAACTTGCAGACATCTTGGAACGGCAAAGGGTTAAATGAGCATTGAGTTTAAAACTCGTCTGTCCTTGACAGCCCGGAAGCCAGTGGTGGAAAATATGTTTGCTTCCCCATAAAGCAGTACTTGTTGTATAGACCCCCACAGAAATGATGGGATAAGTCCACCCCTCAACCAGGAATATTAAACCTTGCAATTGCAAGCCACTCGCTCCACTGCCGAGCCAACCTCACTGGCTTGACTGGATCGGGTCACACAATTTATTGTCCCCAATAGGATGATGGGCCGAGTCAATCCCTGACCAGGACTTGAACTTGCGTCCTTCTAATTGACAGTCGAATGCTCTATCCATAGGGCAAACCCAGATGGATTTGAATTCCATATTTATCTTTAAAGACGGTCGGGGCAGGTGCTGTTTGCGAGCACCCGTCAGGCGTGGTGTGACCAGCACTGATCTGACATATCTACGTTTCACAAAGCAGTCTCAAGGAAATGACTCTGCTGCAATATCACCGCCAGTGGGCATTGGATGCCAATGTAAATAAGATGTGTCTAACTTATTGAGGATATTTCCAATCGAAATGAGTTTCACACATCTTTGGTACAACATGTTTTTGAATGCTCCGCATTGAATAGGCGCACGCAGAGACACGGGGTACAGTGCAATAAAGCATCATGTAAATCTGTAGATCAAGCAATGGATTAAGAGACCCAGGTTGTTAATCCATCCGTCTGTTGCCACATCGTGGTTTGTGACTAGTAATCAAATGGGTTTTACCCTCCCCCCGCCCCGTTATTGCTGTTATTATTTTTTTTCTTCAACTCACTCAACGAGTGGAAAATAACGTTCGCAAAGATTACGCGGTAAATGTCACGTGCAGCTGAACATGCAACGTGTGGCTCAAATTTAGGCCTAGAGTTTTTCAGGACACTCATGGCGAGGTACGTCCCGTGCAGTCACATATGCGGCACGGTCAACGGAACTTGCGCTCCGTACTTTCCGCCAGAGCTGGAGCGATGCATTGATTGATCAATTCAACTTGGCTCGAACACTCCTGATGATACATGCATTGAATTGAATGTGTAAGAAATTCAAGATTTGATCTTTTTATGAATATATCCAGGATATGGAAAAATAGGAATAGGGTTTACCCTTTCTGGCAATAAAACTGGTGTTAAGATGCTCAAACACCTAATATAAACCCTTTGCAAGGAATCAAGTCTGCATTAACCACACGTACTTGGTGGTCTGACACTGGTGAGACCAGGCCCTAAAGAAGGCTGTCTCTGGTGTAGGCCATCAGTTTCAAAGACAATGCATCATATTTTATCAGAGGATGTTTGTTTGCATGTTCACCAGAAGTAATGTGTGTGGTTAATGCGAGCTTGATTCCTTGCCAAAGGTTTCTATTTGGTGTTTGATCATCGTAACATCAGTTTTATTGCCAGAAAGGGTAAAACCTATTCTTATTTGTTCATAATTTGATACTGACAAAAAGGTCCCTTCTTATGTCCAGCATATGTTTGTCAATCCACTGCTGACTGGGTGAGGGCCTCTCCGCACCACGTGGGTCATGGAGGTTATTTAGCCATACTTCTCCACGCTGGTCAGTGCATTTTTGGTGCAGGCTAGTAGCATAAATCTCGAAGCAAGTACAGTTCAACAATGCTCTTTGCTGACAGCAGCAGCAGCAGCCTGTACAGCACCTTTGTTAGGCATGGTAGTCACCCATACACGCACTATCCATGCTCAACCTTATCCTCCTGGATCTAATGAGATCAGGGCTGATTCAGGATAAAATGTTGCCAAATATTTCATTGATCTTGCATATATTTCATGAGTTTTCAGTCCAATTATTGGATCCACGAGAGGGAATCGCCATTTAGAGAAAAGCGAAAACAAAAATTCCTACCTATCGTTTCTTGGCTGCACCGTAACAATTCACCGAAACACAGTGGAGGGTCAATTGCTTCCCCGCTCAGGCAAATGAAACGTCTCAAGGTGCATTCCACTCTCCCCTTGCCGCAAGTCACCTCTGGTCGGAGCGTCTGTCCCCATCATATAGCGGGCATTAAAAGCTCTCAGAAACAGCTGCCTCATCTATTATTCACACCTTAAAGCCAGGTGAATGAAGAGATAAGGGAGAGCCTGAACGCAGGTGACGACGCACGCACACGCCCGACTCTCTCGCCCGTTACGTAGTGTGTGGTGCCAGCGTCTCTGCGATGGCCGTCATTAAATGGGATGACTCTTCCCCACCCCCTATCGAAAAGCATTTCGCGAAGTGTCCCGAAATGCGGCAGCGTTTAGACGCTACGCAAGTTGAAATTGTATTGCATTTTATTTTTACAGCATCTAGAGCTGCGGTCACACTGAAGACACGTTGTACATTCAACGTATGTATGTATATGTATATAGGTAGGTTTTACGTTGAATGGGCCTTGTTGAACAGGTTCCGGACAGGGCAAGGTCTCTCTGCGCAGCCAACCTCTACCCTAAGGGGTCTTCACGACAACCCAAGCTGCAGCCGTGGCACCGTACAAACGATGTTGTCTACTGGCGGTGACCGTCCAAAGGTCAAGTTCAGCTGAGGTCCACGTGAACCGCACATGGCCAACGAGGACGCTACTGGCGCGGCTCGGCGATTACGCACTCGCTGAGTGAATGCTGGCGACACACGAATGGGGATTACCCCTCTGAGTGAGTGAGCCCTCATTTTCCTTCTATCAGAGAAATAATTGTATTTTAAATGTAAATTATGTACAGCCAATATCACTAACACAGGTGCAATGGCAAACACGAAAATATGGACTCTGAGCAAGGGCAACATGTTAATCACCACCCTCTGTGGTTGACATTCACTGTCAAAATATTTCCATTGGAGGCGCTCACGTGAGCTTATTGTTTTCACGACTGATGTTGTCGTTTAGGAGATCCCCTGTGAGACTCTGCGGCATACACAGCGAGCACTCTCCACTTCGTCAAGTATTGTGCCGTTTCGACTGCTGCTGCATTCATTCCTGCCTTCTCATTCACGCTCTCTCCCCCGTCGTGTCGGCAAACTTGCACTACACTTCTTCCCATCGTACTTTTCATTGCATGGTTATCTTTTCCAGGCCTACTTAGCCCTCTTCTTCGAATATAATTTGCCCAAAGTAGCTCAGCTTTCTACGATGTTCATCCTTCAGTGTTCTCTGTTCTATTTGCGATTCGTCGAATAAGTGGCCCGCTTGTCATTCTTTCCACCCAGGGATTTACGAACTTTATTTCTTGTTGTATTGAATCTCAAAAAATTGTACCCTTTATCCGATGCCCAAGATTCAATTTACATACAACGCAATTGGGAAGAGCATTGCAATTAGAACTCTCAAGTCTTAATTAGTTTAATTAATGCTTAGTTCTTGCGGATGTTTAACATCCCGCACATCCGATGAGCATGACTGGCTACGTACAGTGCAAAATAAGTGTAACATACATTCACACGTGTGTGCAGTTACTCCTCACCACAAGCCAATTTCCTTAATTAACTATTCTGGCCAGCCTCCTGTTGGTGTTCGTGTTCAATGCCAAAGTGTGTCTGTATCCAGTATTGACGCAAGGCGAGCGCGGCACCTGTTGCTCTATCTGCAGGAACCGCTGAAGCTCATCGACCGTCAGGTGGTCCTTGCGGTTGCTGTAGCGCAGCAGGATCAGGTAGAGGTCACGGCGGGTGGACATCTTCTGGTAAAGGGCGCAGAACTCCTCAAAGGTCAGCGTTCCCTTGTCGGTGTCTGTGTCGGCCTCCTGTGGAGCAGAGGGTTCCGTACGTCGATAAAAGACATGCGGGGGGGGGGAGGGGGGGGAGAGGCGCGCGTGCATCGTGCAAGTCCGAGGGCAGTATTCTCGAATTGACAAATGTTCACTCTGGTCAGGTTTTTGTTGGTGTTTATTGGTAACGCGGTGACGTCTGCACAGCAAACGGTATCGGTGAGATTTCCAAGGCAATGTGTTTCTCAGCTGTGTTGTTCACATTGTAATCTCGGCCAATGTATAAGGTGTCAGTGAAGGCACCATCCATGATTAAATAATTCTCATTAGGCAGCAGTTTGAGTTGGGTTGATAAAACTTAACAAAGATGAAGACACATATCTCCCATATAGCCTTAACAGATTGTTGGGGCAAGTGCTGTTAGCGACCACCTATGAAGGCCGAAACGGCACACGAGGGGGTGGGTGGCCAGCACCACGCCCGGCCGCTTTTGTCTCCCCAGTGGAAATGTTTATACACATCACACTAGGTTCTCAATTGAGGCTAAGTAGACCTAGGGGAAGAGGCCCAGGACCGGATGAGATAATCGTCACTGGTGTTAGCTGTGAGCGGGAATCAAACTCGGGTGGCCAGGTTCGTAGTGCAGTGCGCTAACCGCTACACTACCGCTGATAAAACTCAATACGCATACGCACATACACTTTATAGGATGAAGATTTTATCATATGGGTTTCTATAATTCTATAATAAGGGTTATGACACCTCTTTAAGCACCCTATATATTATTGCTTATTAATTGAGCATGGGACAACCAAGATCATCTCGGAATATCCCAAGCCAGTGGCATAAGTCCATATTGCAATAGTGAGGGAGCAGTATTTCTTTCAGGACCATCAACACCCCCACTAATAAATGCTAAAGTAAAGAAAAAAATAACCCAAATAAATAATGCACGGCAAAACAATCAAATAACCAAACTTTGCAACAAAATGTGTCATTTCTGGAAGGCAATAATGTGTGGGAATAGAAATGCAGGTCTGCAGCAAAGTTGCCCCCGAAATTTATGTTTCAACAAACAATTGGATATCCTTCCAGTTTGACAGACACTAGGGGCACGGTTGTTGAGAAATCTCCCACGTGCAGTGGACCCAAACCACACGGAGGGAGCAGCCATCATAATTTGGCCATCTGACTGCAATTTTCATATTACTGGTGTGATCACGACAGCTATTAGCAGAGTGCCATTACTAGTCCACCACCGCTCGCCGAATGATAGTTGTTTTCATTTACGTGAAAAGATGACGCTGTTGACAGTAACAATGAAAATAATAGATGCAATTATAGGGCACTTAAATGCCTCAGCATCTCAAAGTGCCTGAAATCATATCTCATCTAAACTAAACTATTTTTTATTTTACCAGGTAAAGCCCACTGAGCTATACAGCTCTTTTGCACAATTGACCTGGCCACAAATGATAGCTCAACTAAGTGGCTTATGTGGAAATGCATGATCAGCCAAATACTCTCAACATGTGTTTCTAAATGTGGAGGGAAAAACCGGAGGACCCGGAGAAAAATCCACGTGACCACGGGGAGAGAGACACGCGAACTGCAAATATACAGGCGACAGGGTCGGGATCGAACCCACAATCTCCTGTATACCAGGTAAAGTAGTTAACATCTCGGCAACCGTGGATTCAAAGGGACCCCCCCCCCCCCAGAGGCAGCAGTTCATGTGCAGCACAAGCAGACAAGAGTCTGCTAGTAGGGGGCGATGATTGTTTTGTTTATTCACAATTGAGTAATTTGTGGGTAATTTTTTTTACATTTGGAAATGTGTACCGTTACGCTGGCACACAACGGTCTACTCTTTTCCAATGACATTACTGTGAAGCAGATAGGCGCATGTTTTACGGTTAACGCACAAGCAGTATTAACCAGGGCAGCCTGCCGGGTTTCAATTCGACATACGAGTGGCAATTTTTCCCGCAGCGGTTGTAGCGCCGTGCAACAGAAAGGGCATGTGTGTTGAAACGCCACCTCTCACCTGGAACATTTGCTTAACCTTCCTGCGGGGAAGGTTAACGTTGAGCTTGTGCATGAGAAGCAGGACTTCGTCGATGCTCAGAGATCCATCGCCATTCTTGTCGGCCTCCATGAAGGTCTGCTTCAGCCACCTGAACGGTCCGTTATGGATAACGAGTTTTCCCATTGCGGCCGCAACGTGTCAGCAAATGTAGGACTGCGTTCTTGCTTTATTGTTGCTTGCTTGCCTGCCACGTCAACACTCCATAACAACTAAACACATACCGCTTTGTGGGAAGACAACAGCAGTTACTGTATAAAAATACTGCACGCGCTATAGGAATGTGGATGTTCTGTCTCGCTCTGTAGGAACGTTGACATTATTCGTATTATCAAACACCACGGGTATAAATGAATATTTTAGCACGTACATGCAGGGTAATTCATTGGTGGTTGGCTATATTTGCGGGGGGCATGCACGTTGTGGATTAGGTGAATGGTGGTAAGAGAATAAACATATCTAGTGTGTCTCAACAGGCCACTTTGGAACACCTGAACAATTGAAAGCTGCGAAAGCAGTTGTTGGAACGTAATCGTGAGGCAACCATGGAATAACATCAAGGCCCAATTCACAATGGGCAAATGTTATTTTTGCTGGCAGAAATAATTATTTTCTATTGTATTCTGTAATGCATCGGCGGTGGCGAGATGTTAACTCATATACAGGAGGTCGTGGGTTTGATCCCAACCCTGACCCCCTGTGCTTGGAGTTTACATTTTCTCTCCGTGGTCGTGTGGATTTTTTCCTTGGTCCTTTAGTTTTTAGAAACATGCGGAAAGAGTATTTGGCTGCTTGAAATTCCACATTAAAAGCCACTTCATTGGGCTATCATTTGTGGCCAGATCGCTTCTAAAAAAGAGCTATACAGCTCAGTGGGATGTATCTGGTAAAAATAAAATGTTTGTTTATCCTAGGCAGATATCAAAATGTAAATTTAGCTAGAACCTCTGATTTCTAAATAGGATCATAATGTGTGATCTTACTTGTTTTATCAGTATTCACTTTCACCTACCAGCTAAATCAACCATACCCACACCTCCATGAACAGTGATATTTCTTTTATCCACGTTAATGGTGGGGAAATGATTGCCAAATCATATTTAATCCGTGCTTTTCTGCGAACATTATTCCTCTTATTTGACAAATTAAATAACAGATACACTTGAATAACAGATATCAGCAAAATAATTGTGGATAACGGGACTAACTCAGCAATTCCATGTGACGCCAGTCCATGGATAGAGAGGGATAATGTGCTTATTTGTCCACATTACTCGTGGATAATAACTTGCTATCCATATACACCACCTCGAGGGTGGACCTCCGTGCTCAAATTTGTCGTGCAATTCCTTGTATCTGTACAAGTAAAAATGTGGCCAATGGGAAGATTTGAGGACGAGTTAGAGGCCCCAGATGGTGGAATTTCTGACACGAACCTAGGACCACTTGATGGAGACAATCGGCCCCAACGCACACGTGACCAGTGAGATACTGCAGTGTACCTCGGTTTAAAATGTACTGCCGATTCACCTTGTGTTTGTTCGTGGTATAATATTACTTAAGGGCCCTGCCATGCTCGTTCCCTGCAATGTAGATGTTATTGGCTTGTTGTTGCTGCTGTGCTCACGCACCACCGTCTGTGTAATAAACACAAATAAACTCACAGTTGTGATCATTTATAATGCACTCCTGAGAATGTTTTTTTAATCTCACTCATAATATACAGCCGTGCCTAAATGTGTGCCATGTTAATTAAAGGAGACATTCCCAAATGAGCCAAATTGTATGATTTCAGAGGGCCTATCATTTAGTTTTCACTTTTAGTAATTGCAATTAACATAAACTCAACATATCTGGTACCCGAATCCAATTTCCGTATTGTAACCTTTTCACCTGGAATAATCACAGCCGACATAGTGCAAGAAAAATGGATACTTAATGGTCGTAATGTTCACGATCATTACACTTGTGCAAAGTACCATTTGCAAGATTACAATTACAGAATGGAATATTACTGAAATACTGAAGAGAAAATCAGTGGCCAACCTCGAGCCTGTATTAGAATGTGCGATGATTTGCTCAAATTCAAATGCAACCATGCATCTTCTGTGGGGCGTTTCAGTTGCCGAGCATGCATTCATATAGACGTCGTAGTGACCATCTAAATAACTCGCGAAAGAGGATTTCATGGATGCAAATTACACGAAATAATTTACCAATAAATTATAATTCCGCACTGCTTAAGGGAAATAAAATATTAAATCGTGTCTTATTATTAAAACGATAAAATTGCAGGCACATGGACAGCCATTAAGAGTTTAATGTCTAAAACTGATTAAAAATAAATGATAGATTTGAAGTTTTCGTGACTGCAAGGATCCATACTCTTTGGTTCTTTCGGTAAAGTCACATAGGTGAAAATAGAATAAAATACAAATATTTTATTTTTATTTTATAGAATAAAATACAAATATTTTATTTTTTATTTTATTTTATTTTCACCTACATGACTTTACCGAAAGAACCAAAGAGTATAAAAATATATGATTTGTGAAAGTCAAGTTTTGTACATATGGTAATAACATATTTCAAATACACTGCTTTTATGTGAATGTGTGTTTTTTAATATGATCTGAGGGTGAAAACTAGTTACTGTTTTTTTTACAATCCATGCCTTTACGACACTCGTGATTTGATCACTGTCACACATTGCTTATGGGAAATAGCGATTTTAAACTTGTAAGTGAAGTAAATATGGTCCTGTTGCTAGTACTTGGATGTATAACTACCAGGGCTTGCGAGGTGTTGGAGGCTTAGGGCTGTGAGGTGGCCAGAAGATGAGTAGTGCGGAGTGTCACCCTCCTCGTATGTGCGGGGTTTCCTCCAGGTACACTGGCTTCTCCTATCACATGCCAAGCAATCCTTAAAGGAATTTGCCAAACATCCCACTGCAGGTTCTTCTGGAAAAATACTCTTTGCGACTTCGTCAAGATTTTTTGGGTAAAAAAAAAACGTAGTTTCTCAACAGCCATATGCATGATCACGTTTGTCCTCAATTTCCTACACTGGCAAAGATGTCTCAATCTCTCACATCCATCTCACAAACTCTCTGGCTCATTGTAGACACGACGCATCGTCCATAACGGTGGATCATATTGGTCGCGAAAGCCTACGTGTGAAAATGAAGCATCGTGTCTCTCTCTATTGGTGGTCTTGAGGAAGATGTGGAAATCATGCTTCTTTGAGTCGAGTCCTGGAACTCTATTCTAATTCGGATTTATATAGTGCCCTTTCTAGAGCGCTTTACAATGCAATAGGACGAGCTTGACTTTCCTCAAAGTGGAACATCTTTTGAACAACCCTAGATTGATGATGGGCTGAGTTGACACCAGACTAGAAAGGTTGTCAACTCAGAACCTTTATCGTGAACTCATGACCTTCCGATAATGTAAGATGTAGAGATATCACTCGATAGATAACGTTACACTAAACTTACACCACACAGCAACTGAACGCGCTTCCTGGCTGACTGAGCCCTCGCTCCGCACCTCTGAGTTCTCAATTGAACAATTCTGTCCATGCGCGCGTTATAAATGTTTTATTCTTATTTTAACTAAATCGGACACTGACTTATGAGTTGCTTTTCATTTGGACAAACGCGATAGGGAGTTGGGTGGGGAAACTTTTACACTTAACAAAATCTGTTGACATTCTGTCTTTAAAAAAATATATATATCCCTGTCATGTTGGAACAGAGTGTGAGGCTGTGCTCAGATTTGTAAAAGCCTTCTCTGGGTCTGAGTTAAATGGGATCAGGACTGTGCAGTAATGACAACACACTGTGCTTGCCGGTGCTAGGTGACATCTGCTGAAGTTATCAGAGCTGCACTGTAATTATTTTAATATGCAACCTAATCATCCTGGGCGCCTCTGCAATTCAGCAAAAATGTCATGCCCAGCAGCTCTGATCTGACTCAGCAAGGGACGTGTGCATCTTGATTTGGACAAAGGTTAAAATTAATATTATTATTTTTAACGCGTGTTATACGATAGGAATGACATTTCAAATGGAACGCACAGTTTATGAGGGTGTTTTAAAACAGCATACATCATTATAACAGGCACATTTAAAATTAATAAGGGCAAATATTCAGTCCATATTCCTATGGCTGGGGCAGTCTCTCTGTAGGACAACCACTTGTGACTTCCCACAATATGGAACTATTTTTCTGTGCTCCGGAGAAATAATGATGATGATGTAATATGTGAAAAGAGAATAATATTCATGGGCAGTAGTGACTTGACGAGGGTGTGTTGATGCAATTAGACTTGCTGCCATAATAGGCCATCGTGTGGTTAATATTCACAAAAAGTTTTATGCTCGAGCCTTATATTTAAACCTACAGCAGCGAGGAATCGTAGCCATTAACCAGCTTGAAATTCACCCGCTGTTTGCTGTAGATTTAAGTCGGGCCACAGACACGGTGAGGGAACAAATAGGTAAATGGGAAATGAGGCAGGGGGGGCTGTTATGTTCAGGGTGTCTGCAAATGTCCCATTACCCCGAAGCTACCCAAGTTTGCGTTTGGCAAAATGGGCTTAACAGGGCATTGTGGACAGGCTTTTATAAAATCTCATTAAACAAAAGGCTGCTGTGCCCACGCTCGTTCGCTCAACATTCACATTTCCATCCACATTTCGGTGCGCCTCATTGATGTTCAATGCCAAATATACGAATTTCCAAGTTGATCTATTCGTAAATTCTGCATTGGCCGTGGTGTAAAATCATAATAAAAAAACAACAACAACAACAACAATAAAAACCTCACAATTATCGATAATACTTCCTTTAAAAGAAAAACACATTTCAGGGGCAATGTTTTTCGGGCAATGGCTTTTCTTCCTAGCACGTGAAGGGATTTATTTCATATAAACGGGTTTATTATTTATGTGCTATATTTCCTGAAAGGTTGCCGATTACATGAAAATATGTATGTTAAGGCCACATTGTTATTGATGAAAGTTTGAGTGGAAAAAAAAATCTGAAGTGCTATAATTAATTAATACTTGCAAAGTACTGAGCCTCAACCCAATGCACTGCACAGGCAACAACAAGAGCCACCATCCGCCACAAAGTGGCAGTGACATCACCACAGTGCTTGTGCACTTTGAGGTCACGTGACGTGTCAAAACGGCTCACTGGCAGGAGGTCACAGGCCAGACATAATTACGGTGGCGAGATGTTTACTACTTCGCCTGGTATACAGGAAGCCACGGGTTCGATCCTGACCCTGACGCCTGTATATTTGGAGTTTGCCGTGTTCTCCCCGTCGTCGCGTGGATTTTCTCCGGGTTCTCCGGTTTTCCCCTCTGCATTTAGAAACACACGTTTACAGTATTTGCCTGCTATAAGTTTCCATGTGATAAGCCACTGCATTGAGCTATAATTTGTGGCCAGGTTCCTTCTGAAAGAGAGCTATATAGCTCAGTGGGCCTTACCTAGTAATATAAAAGTTAGTTTAATAGTTAGTTACGGTTTTGATTTAAAGCTTTCGTGACTGCAGGGATTCATCTTCTTGGTTCTTTCGGTAAAGTCACGCTTGCGTTGTGGCCGAAACGTCGTGAGAATTATTTTATTATGTTTTATTTTTATTATTTTATTACTTCCCTTCTACGTGACTTTACCGAAAGAACCAAGAAGAGTTAGCTATGGGTTAACCGATCGAGATGACCGCTGGCAGATTCTATTTTTCGCGGGGTTCTTGAGCCTCGGCTCACACCTTAGGCATTCACGCACGCGCGCAAACGCGCTCCGACGCACGCTTCCCACGCAACGCATGCGCAAGGATACTGGTCGCGCGTTCGCTGCCGCTTGGCCAGGCAGTCCTCGTCGTTGATGCCGGCCATGAGGTAGCGCAGGCCCGTGAGCCAGCTGCGAGCCTCGTCAGGGCTGCCCGTCACCACGGCCAGCCACTCGGTGTGCGAGCCGTGGTAGATGCAGAGGCAGCACGCCGGGTCGAAGGAGCCCTCCGGGTAGCGCTGGAAGATCTCCGAGTTGCGGCCCTCGCACACCTCCCGCACGGAGTCGATGGCGACTGCGACACGGGCAACGCGCGGCCGTTCAAGCGATAGGCAACGAGCGGCAGTAGCGACGTTCAACAAACGACAAGGCATTCTCAAGCCAGCGATTGCACGCACGGCCGTCCACAAATCCACGTGTTCATATGACAGGATTATGCAATGTGGCTGAAATTGTCTGTTGGCCAGAGACGCATACTGTTTTTCAGTGAATGTTTTAAGTGAAGCCGATATTATGCCTGCTTACAATTACAGCCCTTTGTCAATTAAGTGACAGCATGAAGGCTTCCCGATGTGATCACAGTCATAGGGGATTTGTTTTACCATACTTCCCTGCACTGCTCAGCAGGTTAGTGATGGATCTGTGGAGGGCAGAGGTGGTTTTAATGACTTGCCACTGACCTGAGGCATTGAAAGGAATCGAACTTGTGGACAAATTTTAAACACCGCTAACTCAACTTTAAACGTGTTGTGTAATTATTAAAACTGCAACTCACACCACAGGAATTACCCACAATGCCTCGGATTGCAATTAAAATGCTTCGTGCGAACGAGCTTTCAGAGCTCGATAAAGCCACTTCGTGTAAAGAACCATCTTGTTTAGAATATCCAACAAAATTAAAAAGTAATAAACAATAAATGTAATTAGATTTGGTCTCTTCACTAATTAGTGCAGAGGGACATTATCTGATTAATTCCAAACAATTCATGGTTGTTGATTATTGATTGCAAACTATCTTCGACCGTAGTTGTTTATTTCTCATTAATGGTTAATGAGGAACACTCTACGCTCTTGTTCACACTCATCAATCATGCCATATAAAACACACTTTTAATAAATTCCATTCATATTGAGTATGATTAACAGCTCCACCGCATGTAATATGACAATATTTTGCATTCTCTACAAACAAACGTGGTGTTGCTCTAACGTTTTTAAACTTGCAATGCCTCTATATCCGTTATCCGTGTGACTGAACGCTCGAGGGGAGAAAAAATCAGCCTCCTGCATTGCCCAAATCAGATGCAGATAAAATGAAAATTCGATAGCTCCCGAGGTATTGACCGTACATCCGCCATTCCTATGGTGCGGATAAGAAAGTGAGGAGTTGTGGGTAACGGACGGATTAAGTCTACTCTGTGCACGTTCCGTGACCGTGCAGAAATACTAAATTCTAAATGACCGAAAAAGAAGAGCTCATGTGGACGGTGGCAACGATGGAGGGATACCTTTCATCCGTCATATTTTGTCTCAACAGATGTGTGAAAAAAACAAATTTCTTCGGGAACTGCTTTTCGTGTTTCGTTCTTTTTCCTTCCTCCACACCTCCTATTAGCGTGGTTGTCTACGTACGGTGCGAAGAAAGTTCAACGTATATACTGTAGATACTAAGAGACTAGTTTGCCAGCTCACTGTATTGTTCCCAATTTGCCTGTGACTTAAAATTATTCGTCCAATCCGTGTGTCAGTGGTCACGAGGTCATGGTCACGTGGTCTGGTGACGTGGGCTTATAACCCAATGCTGTGGAGGTAACGAGTGTGGAGCAGTTGGGCTGCAAGGTGATCAGAAGATGGCAGTATTGCAAATGGATTGCTAAACCTATCTGTGCAGATTTTAAATGTTACCCTTTCACGTGGTATAGTAATTCCAGATTACAAGAGTTGGCAGCGCATTCGTTTAACAGGTCTCATTCTGCTGATGAGACATGGAAATTCAAAACCAGTTCAAAATTTGCCCGCTAAAACAAATGCTGGTTTAAAAAATGGTTCAGAAGGCCCATAGGCTGATTTACTAAAATGTCGTTTTTCGCACTTGGCAAGGTAGATCCATGTCTGTTTATTTATGAATGAATTGCCCACAATCCACCACAATAGTGTACAGCGAGTTTCATTCAAACATTCTCTCGAATATATGTTCTCAGGTTGGACCACACATTGTTCAGCACGATGTCCGGCGTAGCTTCTCCGTGAAATGAACGAAATTAGCTCTTGAAGAAGCTCCCAGCAAATAGTACGAGACGACAGACATTGCTCCAAATGCACGTGGTACAACCAGAATACCGCAACGGAGAAACACACAACATGACCACGAAAAAAACCTGTGCAGTAGCCGTTTATTCATACAATATTAGTTCCATGAATTTGCTTTGTATGGCACTAACATACTAACATCGTCAAGGCAAAGTGTGTCACTGCTCAAGCACGTAGTGGCGTGGAACATAATTTATTTGGCAGCCCCGAGGCCACTTGCCACTCATTTCAACTTCACATATCACTCCGAATTTCTCACCCGTGCATGTTCACGAGGTGGCACTCATTTACAGGCCCTGCTGGGATGAAAGCGCAGCATTAATAATAATAACCCCTCTACCCTGATGGCGTTACGTAGCTGGGTGGAACTGTGATTACAGCATTCTGTTCATTATCAAGATGCAACAACTTCGCGTTGGGTGAACAACTCGGCACATTATACCTCAAGCGTAAGTTACAGCAAGTACCATGTTGCCGTGAAAATGTGTCCATTTCCACAATTGGCGCTGAGCTGCTGAAGGGGGATAAGTGCCACCGCACTGCACATTTGATCAAGGAGACAATTTACCGTGGGCCTCGTCTCGCTGGACATTGTTGCGGGAAAATTAAGAAGCGAGTTGTTGCAGGTGGCTGGGGAGCTCGTGGGATTGGAGCGCTGAGCCAGTACCGTTGGGATGCTGGGTTTTGCATCATGCGTAGTGAGTTGATGGACTCAGCCCCAGTCAAGGACAGAACGGATTAAGAGATTAAACTTATTTTTGGGTTATTTCGGTGAAGTCACGTATAAAGATAAAATAATAAATTAAATTATATTTATACGTGACTTTACCGAAAGAACCAAATAATAATTCCTGCAGTCATGAAAGCTCCAAATTGAGATTAAACTTGTGTGTTTTTTTACTCAATTTGGCTGAAGTCCAGGTCTGAAAACAATGATTTACACTTTGCACTCCTGTGTTTTTTGTATTGTTTGTCGTTGTAACGTTCTGACCTGCCCATACTGGACATCTGTGCAAGAAGAGCTTCATAGCACATCGAATTCTTCCAGTCTGAATCAAGATTTAGGGCAGTTCTGCCATTTCATCTCCCAGGTGATTTTTCTGGCACAGGGTGATGCACTGCTGGCTGCAGAGTTATCATCAGAAACGTCTTCGGCTCGTAACATGGGGCCAGTTGCACAATTGTCACCACAACCGTGGCACAATTGGAACATGATCGGGGAAATAAGGAGGCTCGCATGAAGGCAATGTCCGTGGTGGAGCAGAACTTACTTTTTGCTTTCTCCTGTTTCCTCGAGGGCCTCCAGCGGATGCAGCTGCGCTGCTCGTCCAGGTAATAGAGGCGGGGAAGGCCCTTCGGGCCCCCTTTGAGCTTGATCATCTGCGTCCCCGACTGCATCGCCGTCAGAGACTTCTCCACTGCAAGCGAAGGGGATAGCGGGAATTAAGTTGTTGTTGTTGTTGATCAAATCAACAAGTGGAATATAACGACTGATACTTGATGTCACATTAAATCATAACGTCCGTGTTATATACGGGTTTACCCGCTTGTTTGCTACATAAAGTAAATACAGTAATGGCTGAAAGTTTATAATGGCGTTGCGTCGACCTGGTCAAAATAACTTGACATAAAAACAGCGGTCCCAATGTAATATCGTCCAACCTATAATTCAACAAAACTATTCAAAATGTTCTTTATATTATCCAAGTAGGAGGCCACTTGTATTATCTTTTGGAAGGGACCTACACAACAGTTGCAAATGTCATGTAATGTTTGTTTTCAATTATGGGTTAAGCCACCCCTTTCTTGTTTCGTATGAGGGTCAAGAGGCACATGTTGCTGATTGTGTAAGGTTTTAAAAAGGGACAATATCTTGCCTGCTTAAAATGTGAATTAATCGACAGCACGGTACACATCATTGGGGACATTGGTAACTTCGTGTGCTTAATTAAGACCAGATTAAACGTCTAATGAGACCAGAAATAGCTTATTTCAAGGTAGACCTGGGTAAATATAATCGTACATTGCAACAACAAAAGTTAGAGTGCGACAAACACAGCACGAAGCGCCACATGTAGTGTACAGCACCAGCAATCAGCTTCGAGAAGAAAATGACTAAAAGTGACTTTTCTGCAGATATGTTTCCACTGTGCTTAATTATAATGTGCACGCGCGTGTGTGTGTGTGCATGAGGCCAACCGCATTATAATATTTCCACATTAAACCTATTTACGTAAACGTGCGGTGCAGCATTAGTGATGTATGATGGCCAACAGCAGGTCGTTGTGAAAAGTCTCTTTATTTTTGCTGTAAATGATAACAAGGTGCATTTTCCCCAGGGTCTTTTATGTTATAAATTAGCCACGATTCACCACCAAGGTACATTTAGTGAACCATGAGGGCCAGGCAGTGTTTAAAGATTTCATATCGCGGTTTCCTCTGGATGACAGAGCGCTTCCAAAGTCCCGTCAGCCTTAATATCTACATGTTGATGCGGATTCGATATAACTTTGATAAATGTCCACTATTGCACCAAGCTGTAGTGCATCTGGAAGTGTGTAACGCCCTATTTCCTACCCCGAAACGCACACTTGACCCAGTAATTCCAGCGAGGGCAGACTGTAAATAAGATTTAGCGAATTTAGTTTTTATACTTTGGGGAGTAGAATAGTTCACCCAGCCAATTTAAGCTGACAGAGACAGGCACAGATAGAATGACATCGCTCCTCTTTCAGAGACATTCATGCGCACATTTAAACGTGAGCTCTTATTTCTATGCCACGGTGGCTGAATAGAGGGCCCGAAAGCTGAAAAAGCCAAGCAGCTTGAAACAAACAGCGCAACTGAAGTTGCCATTGATGAATTAATACATTTCTTGAATTGAGCACAGCTGCAGACAGCGGTCACGTGAAAAGGCCCAGTAAAATGTATTCAGAAGTTAAATAGCCATTGAATGTTGGTTTATTCAAACAAAAGTTTGCAACACAAATGCTCAGACAGATTAAACAGGCATTGCAGTCAAGTAAAAAACTGGTTCAGTACATTCACAGGTAAACTGAACTCTTTTATTTACCAGGTAAAGCCTACTGAGTTAAGTGCCTTTTTCAGAGGCGACCTGGTTACACATAATAGCTCACCCAAGTGGCTGACACTGCGTCATATATGGTCATTTATAGGAAGCAACCAAATAATCGAAATGATATTTACCAAAATTGCACAAAGTCTACTTGAAAACACTGAATGTTTTGTTTTGGACAGGGGAGAAAAAAATATATATATCTACAATTTCTGCTTCGCTAAACAAAAAGCCACGTGCTCTCCAAACATTAGACGAACGTCCACCAGTGTGTTGTTGTTGTTGATTAAGGTGTTAATGCATTGGCAACAACGGCAATGGGCATGTTCTGCTCACGGAAATAGTTCAATGGGGCGTGTAATGGAAAACACGCAGACGGAAGACTATCATTTACAATCCCATTTCGTATCACCCCCCCCCCCCCGACTTCCCACTCCATTAAAATTCCGCATTATTATTTCGCCAGTGCAACGATATTCTACGGCGACGTGGGTTTTGGCGTTTTCCATGCCGAGTGGAGAGTTTCAAGTGGAGGAAGGGTCACGGTCGCGTTCACGGATTGATGCCGCTGTTCGTCTTTACCCGACTCGTGTGGTAATGACTGGGATCAAACGGATTGCTTGCGATACCACCACTTCGCCTGTCCGTCACGCGGTGGCTAAAAAAAAAATGTCATTCAAATATCTTACGGTGTATGGATCGGGATGCTGGTGCAGGACAAAGGAGCAAATATATTTCCATCAGCTCGCATAGGGGCCGTCCATAAATGACGTCACGCGATTTTGGACGATTTTTGACACCCCCCCCCCCTCGTCATACGGCGTCACAAAAAGTCAGACCCCCCTCAAATATGACGTCACAAAGCTCTGCCCCCCCCCCCCCCAAATAAAACATTCTTCAAATCGCTTTAAATTATTGTTATTGTAGTGCGTATTTAATGTGGCGCTGCACTCTTGATGTTGTAGGAGAAAACATTCATTAAAAAGTCTATTTAATTAAGTAGAACGTGTTGTCTATATTTATTTAAAGTTGCGCATTTTGATGTGACGTCACATTTCTCAACCCCCCCCCCCTCGTCACACATCGTCACAAATGTCTGACCCCCCAGGTGCGTGACGTCATTTATGGACGACCCCTTACGTGTAACATTCAACGCTCGTCGATTTTTCTTTCCCCCCCTCTCTCTCTTCCCTGATTCGTCAACCTCAACTTCCCATCAACCTCTGCACGGCAGGAGGTCACCCCTTCGCCTTTGCTGCTCCCAATGTCTGAAATTCGTTTTCTCTTCTTGTACAAATATGACTCTCCCGTCTCTGTTGAGACATTAATTACAGTAAGTTACACGTATAATAAAGACTCCCCTCTATAGCAATGCTGGTGCATGTGTTTCTATCAGGCAAGAGTTTCCAGTCTAGCCAGGAAAACACCCAGCCACCTTTGTCTCCCTATCACTGATCTAAACATTACATCAGGTAAATTTCGATGTAAAGCTTTCGTGACTGCAGGGATTCATCTTCTTGGTTCTTTCGGTAAAGTCACGTAGAAGGGAAGTAATAAAATAATAAAAATAAAACATAATAAAATTATTCTCACGACGTTTCGGCCACAACGCAAGCAGCCGTCCTCAGGTGAAGAACAGGTCTGTCGGGAAGACAAGAGTCTGAATGAATCATTCAAGACAGCGTCTGAATGATTCACAGCGTCTGAATGATTCATTCAGACGCTGTCTTCCCGACAGAAAGAACCAAGAAGACTACATCAGGTACTCATTGAGTCGACCTGAACATATGTCGGCATCTTGTACATAAGCACACACACATTAATACATTATACAATTTGTTCCTAGACAAAAGTAAGCTTTACATTTGTTAACATCAGCACGCAATTTGCTCGCAAGTATTTACCCATAATCACTGCCTAAACCAATGAAAACATCCGAATTGGACTCCGCTTGTGTTTGCTAAATCCACTCCTCGAGTAAGGTTCATATTTTGCGCCCCACATGAATGACTGTTTAAGTGATCCCCAGGGGAGTCAGTTTCACATCGGTGTGCGGGCAATGCAATGGATCACAACACAAGACGACAAAGAGACCCCCCTCAGACTTTTACTGAGAGTCACACGGTGTTTTTTTTTTCCCGAGGCTGCACGTATTTTCCTTTTCAAGGAATGAATAGGAAATAATAGTTTACGCGATCTAACGCCCCCAAAAAAACTCTATTATGGATATTGGTCGCGAAAGCCTACGTGTTCATTCTAGATTTGAAGCTTTCGTGACTGCAAGGATTCATATTCTTAGGTTTTTCGGTAAAGTCACGATTGCTGTGACGGTTCCACCTGAAGACGGAAGCTTGTGTTGCCTCCGAAACGTCGTGATTTTTATTTTATTTTTATTTTACTTTTATTAATTTACATTTTTTACCTACGTGTTCAACTAAATAATAGCAAGTTTGCCCTTCGCATGCTCGCTTTTTACCTCTCACTTCATTACCGTATTTATTTCCTTGCTTTACCCCATTCGCTAACATGAGGGTGGTTAATTCATCACGTTAACGACGCGAAACAAATCTTCACACAACAAGTGTGCGCGTCCACCCGAATCCGTGACTGCCCCCCCCCCACCTGTCCCCCACCTGCCCCTCACCTGCCCCCCCACCTGCCCCCCCCCCACCTGCCCCCCACCTGCCCCCCCCACCAGCCCCCTCCCACCTGCCCCCCACCTGCCCCCCCCATCAGCCCCCTCCCACCTGCCCCCCACCTGCCCCTCCACCTGCCCCCCCACCTGCCCCCCACACCTACCCCCCCACCTGCCTCCCACCTCCCCCCCACCAGCTCCCCCCACCTGCCCCCCACCTGCCCCCCCCCCACTTGCCAGAGACTTACCTGCACGCTGAACACGCACGCGCACGCGCTGAACACGCTGAACACGCGCGCATGTACTTCTGATGAAACTATCTGCATTACAACCGAGACGGTGCCGAGTTCTTGAAATTAAGTGTGTTAGCGGGGGGGGGGGGGGGGGGTGCCTTGTACCGCACTCATCCCGTGTACAATCCGTTTCACAGAAGTGGCAGCCTAATTACATTCCGTGTAATTGCTTCGCTCGTTTGTTTCTGTTATTTTGTCTCCCTTCCCGGAAAGCCGTGCCTATACTGCGTAAAAGTTTTTTTTTTCTCTCTATCTCGGACAGGTATTCATTACAGCAGCACTCTACGAATGCTTCTCCCCACCCCCCCACCACCAAAAAAAATCCAATAATTAAAAGCGTCACTCAGAAATTGGGGACACACGTTCAGGAAAAGTGAAGGAACGCAACAGAAACGGCCGAGCAAACTTCACGAC